TGACATGCGACAGAGAGAAATTTTAAAATTAGATAAGTTAATTTCACCAAAAATGCATCGTGGTCAAGGCTGGCTAAGTTTGAATGATCGCACTCAAAACCAATGATATCAAAGAAAATTGGAGAATGAGAACGAGACCCACCTTGAGTGTCGAAGTGATCCCGCTTAGTAGTGAGTCGCCAAGATGTAGTCTTGTCCCAAAAATGGCCTTGCCCTTTTACTTGTTTTTTGTTAAATCTTTTATCTTTCATCTTTTAAAAATTTATCCTGAAGAGCAATTATTTCATATAGTTAAAAGGCTTATTGTTATGTGCTAAAATATACAGTATTATGAAAAACAATGTAAAATGAATTACTTTAATAATTTTAAATACTTACGAAAACTAAAGAATTAAAAAAATTACTTGTTCTTTTGGTAATTGGTATGAAATATTATTTCAAATATACTTTGTAAACTTTATTTCAAATAGAAGGTAAATTGTTGGGTATTGTGGGTGGGTGAATCGTATATTGTTTGGTCAAAAAGTAACTGACCATAAGTTGAAAAAAACACATTAGCTAACAGTAAAAACTTTTATGGATAAGACAAATATTTCACATGGGAACCAGCTGATCAATGCTTTTTAAATAGAATTTCTAAACCTTTTCCACTAATCAGTTCCTGCTGGACAAGGTTTAGAACTTCCTGCCGAACCTCAATATCAGAGGTAAATATGTGGCCTTTGAAGTGTTATTTTATTGGTCCAAAAATGTGGCAATTGTATGGTGACAAGTCCAGACTATAGGTCAGGTGTAGTAAAACAGTCTAGCACAGGGGTCTCCAATCTATAGCCCATGAGACAAATATGGCCTCAAAGCATATTTATCCAGTCTGCTTAGCTCATTTTCACTGACATGCTTTGTTGTTGATATTCAAACTAATTTAAAGCTTACACTTTTGAAAAATAAACTAGAATTAATAGACTTTGCTGCAAATAATTTTTATTGAAACCTATTTAAAGAAGATAATTTAAATTTTATCAAATCGCCATCAGAAGAGATTTTTAAGTCTTAAAAAGTTTGCATGGGACATATTTTCTATTTTTGCTTCTATGTACTTTTGTGAACAAATTTTTTCAAAAGTGAAATACATAAAATTAAAATATTGAATATTGCTCTCCAATATGTAAAGGAGAATTTAATGTTGGGTACCACAAAATTTATCTCCAGGTTTGATCTTTTGACTTGATTTTGAAAAAGAAGTTGCAAATTTCTCATTGATTCCCTTATATTTACAACTCACTTGGCTATTCTCAGAAAAAGATTGGAAACTGGTTCTGTGAAAGTTGACAATAATAGCTTGAGTAACAGCAATGTTATGTAGTCAGGCATTATCATGAAGTGTGACTCCAGCAGTTACGCAGCTTGGTGGGCTGTGTGCAACCTTCTAAGTATTGGATAATAAGAAGCTGCATTAACTGTTTCTCCATGCTAGAGAAATCCACTCAACAGAGCACCCTGATGGTCAATGGAAAATGTCAACATCACTTTCCCTACACTTAGCTATGATAAGGCTTTGCATAAGTACATGTTTCCACTATATTTACATATACTTTGACTTGGGTATGTAGTGATGTCACCGAGTTTCATCTCTGGTCACAGTTTTCTGCAAAATTAGACCATTTTGTTGGTGATAATAAGTTAGAGTGCGACTATGCAGATGCGAATTTAGTAGCGAGCGATATATTTCTCGCAAAGGAAAACTATGCACAAGTGAGAAGTGAGAAATATCACTGGTGAGAGCGAATTTCTGGTTCTCGCACATATCTGACAGGGTTTGATATTTATCGTGTCTCGCCTCTTCTCGCCAGATATTCTCGCTCACTCAGAAAATTTGCTTACTCGCGTCTGCATAGTCGCACCCTTAAGTTTCCAGTCATGCACCCATCTGCATAGTGGTTTATTTGGGACTCATTTAAATGTAGAACAGCTTTCTATAGACAAGGGATGGGACACAATGGCATGCCCCATCCGTTTACTGATTGCACTGCTTCCACTATTGCCTGTAGTGATATGTCAATCAGCTCAGCTTGCATGACTTGATCCACAGTGGCATACTTTTCACCTATGATGCCTGAACATGACCTTCTAGGTCTTGTTGCATTTTCAAGGTTTTGGCATCAGTGCAAAAATGTCACACAGCAGACCTTCATTTATGTCTGTCCCATATAATGTCCAGCATATATCCAGCCTCATTTTTCAATGTATGTTGATAACTCTCTTTCTGTCAGCAATGAAAAACTGTTTAACTACTTACTATTGTTGGATGCTTATATCCTGCAACTTCTTTACTTTGCATTATTTCAACCACCATTAGTATGTGAACTTCACTAGCTGTGTGTCTTATATAAAAGCTTCACTCTCTTATATAATAGCTGCTTCTGCAGTGAGGACACTGATGTTGCATTCATAGTTTCAAAACTAGGATGCTTGATTATGTTTTGTCCAATCTTACATACACATGAAGAATTAGTCACTGCAGTTAACTTAATGAAGGAAATAATATACTTTTAACAGTGGTTAAAATTTGAGGAAACAAATGTTTTTATCAAATTAATGTGCTATCTTCAGGCATAAGAGGAATATATGTTATTTTATGCCCAAAGATGGCCCATTAATTGGGTTTGAAACATTGTGTTTTTTCAAACACACTATTATTTACTGTTAAAGATACATTATTTACTTTATTGAATTCTAGAAATAAGAAATTTATAACATTTTTCTAAATTATGGATTTTTATTTTTTTTACAAATGTTTAATATGATGATAGCAGTTTGGAAGCTATAAATTTTCTTAAATTTGAGCTAATTTTATCTTTCATAATTTTTATTCAAAATAAATGTATAAATTTTTCAGGTTTTAGTAGTATATTACATGCAGACATATGTTAGCAAAATAACACACAACTATATATGAAACACTCAGTTATTGTTTTCGTATTTAATTCTTATATGCTCGCTAACATACGTTGTGTGCAAAAATAAAAATATTTATTAACTTTTGAGAAAATTTTTCTAAATAGAAATGCAATGATCTGTTTGGAAAGGTTTTGTAATAATTAAATACAGTAATACCTCGACTTACGCTACCCCGACTTACGCGAACCCGGAGTTACGTGATTTTCAAATCTTGTAGATTCGTCTTTTGTTTGAGCGCCATACAACTCTCGATTACTCACTCCCCCCACACTATTGTTCAGCTTACATGTTTGGACGTGCCGCGCGGAATCGATGCATAGCTACAATTTATTTTGTGTTATTTATTTCTGTGTTTGTAATATCTACGGAGACTCGAGAGACTCTATGTGGTGATTTCTTGTAACCTTGAACGAATCAAAAGACGAGATAAGATTAACGAGAACATTTATTAGCTTACATACATTCGACTTGGATTTTACACAAATTGCGAAATTATACCCCGACTTACGCGAATTCGACTTATGCGGTTATCGCTCGGTCCCACCTATCGCATAAGTTCGGGGTATTACTGTAATAATAAATTTCATTTTAACTGATAGAAAGAAATAAATAAGTAAAAATATATTTATAATATGTATTTGATCTGAAGATTTAAAAGTTCAAAACTCTCTGTCACAGTTATAAATTTGGCATATTTTTGTATCTCATTTTAAATCTTTAACTCAAATGGCAAATATCTACAGAAATTTTGTGTAAAACATTACATGAGAGAATAACTGGTTTGTCTATTTAGAACTCAGTATAATGGAATATATTATTAATAAATTCTTTTAGATCAGTAATGTTAATGTTTGACCTATTTAATAAGTTGATTCTAAAATATGAAAGGAAAACAGTTAAGATTCATATAAAGTTCTTTCTACGTTGGAATTTCAGCATGTATTGATTTTTTTTTTTTTTTTGTAATATTAAAAAGCAGGATAATTTATTAATAATAGTTTTATATGTTTATGTTAGAAATTAATTTTTTTTGTAAATAACATGTATTTATAATATAAATTATTAATGTAAGTTATAAATTTAATTAAATTATTTAACACAAAATAACATATATTTGTGTTAAATAATTAAATTAAATTAATAACTGTATAAAATGAGTTGAAATTATTAAAATATTTAATATTTTATGAATTTTTACATAGTTTTTTTTTAAATATTTATTTTGATTTAAAAAATAACTTTATATAATTTTAATTTCATTTTTAATTTATATTATATTTAAAAATCATATAAACAGTTATTTTTCAAACATTTACTTTATATTAATGCTATAATTTTTAATCTTTTTGTTTTATAATTTATCAGTGGATTCATCTTAAACTTTGAGATGAATCCACTGATAAATTATAAATTATATTCATCATAAAAAAATTATTACAGTTTAGATGGTATTGAAGGAATTAAAAGTAATGTTTAGTAATAATTAATAAAAAGCACATGAAATTCAAAGTTTTTTTGAATTACATTTTTGTTTGTAACGTAATATTATACTAACACCAGATGACAGATTATGATTTTTCACTTGCTATACAAGTGCATTATTTTCGTTTTTGTCAAAAATTAATACAGCTGATTGTATGTAATCTAAAATATTATGTTAAATTATTTTTCAAAATTTAGATACATATTTTAAATAATGAAGTTTTATGTAGAATTTAATATATAACAAACATGTTTCAATTTATTAAAATGTGATAATTAAATAAACGTAACCAATTAATCAACCATATAAATGATTTCTTAATATATAATAAGTTTATTGTAATGTAAGTTAGTGAAATGTAACCATTATTATAGTAATGTAAATATAAAAAATTAGTCAATGGTTGGATAGTTGATTGTATTGTTAATAAAATATAATTGAATAAAATAAACTAAGATTTTGGGCATTATTAATATTGAATTACAATTCTATCTTAAGCAAATAAAATCTAACATTTTAGTTATATATTTATTATTAATAATTTATTTATTTTTTTAAGGTGCTAGTGATGACGGTGTTAGTTGTGCCATAATGCTTGAATTATTAGTTATATTTACTCAGCATCAGAAACCATTACCTCATCCTTTAATCTTTCTTTTTAATGGTGCAGAAGAAAATTTACTTCAGGTAATTTAGATGTTATCAAATTCTTAGTTTTTTGCTATAAATATAATATTTATTCATTATACTGTAGTAATAAATGCAAAATGAGAATTATAAAGATATGTTAATCAATAATATCATCTTTATTTTGCATAAAGTATATCAGTTCTTTGGAATACCAGCTCTTCTCAGTCCCAGTATACAAATTTACAATATACGCCATACAAAAGTTGAGAGAATGAGCAGTAATTAACACTACTCTTGCAATACCAATAATTACCAAATATTTTACAACAAATATAAAACAAACTACAACTAAATGCTTAGAACTAACTAAATCTAAAGAAGAAGGAATCAGTAGACGAAAAAGGACAATAGAAGTAAGGATAGGTGAAAGTCGGTACCCAATTGTTGATGGTGATCTTGGGGGTGATGAAAATTCCAAATCATTTCCTTTCTTGGGGATGATGGATAAATTCTGGTTTTCGCCAGATTTGCTTCAATGATGGTTGGCAGTCTCTAAGATTTCTCTTTACCGAATTTGCCTTGATTCTTGCTTAGGCCTCCTTCTGTCTTTATTCGCTGCCAAAAATGAACTAGAGCATTCTTCTTACGTCCTATCCTTTTGACGTCCCAACAAAGAATGTCCCTTGTCTTTCTGTTAAGCCCTCAGGCTTCCTTCCTTTCCTTTGTACAAGGGGATTAGTCACCACCATCCAAGAAGAAAGGGTTGTGAGAGAATTTTCTGGAAGGGACAGACAATGGAAGGAAGAAAGAAGGGAAACTATACAAAAATTAAAAAAAAACATATAAAATATGGCATACAACCACAATACTAAGTTTAAGTTGTCTTTCACTGCCTTTGTCATGCATGATATAACTTTTATTAGAACATACTATAAATTTGCACACTTATTATCAATGAAAATAATTACTTATTTCTATAAGGTGTTTTGGATATAATTGTATTTAAATATAGATAATTATTAATGTTAAACTCACATTTTTAAGTAATAAGACTTAATTGAATGAAAAAGTTTATAGATATAAGTTACAATGGAACCTCACTTAACAAGCATCTCACATAATGAGCAAAACAAATTTGTAAAAAATTACTTGCTTAATGAGCGACATTTTGCATAATGACGTTTTGCACAATCCAGGAAATACTTTCTCATTGAAAGTATGTCCTGGATTGTGCTCATTTTCTTACATCTTAGATCTAAGATGTAAGATGTTATTTTCTCTTAAAATTTTTCTCTTACATCTTAGATCTAAGATGTAAGAGAAAAATTTTAAGAGAAAATAACATAAACTCTCTAAACCTGAAAATACATGTTATTTTCAATTCAAAAATTTTCCTGTTTACAGAGAAAACATTTTGAATTGAAATAATGTGACTTCTGGAAGTTTATATACAGTTAATCAGGGCCTCCTGTTTCTAAGGTTTCCACATATGGTCTTGTTTATAAAATCATACTGCCAGTTTATGCTACCAGCTTAGAGGTATGAAGGAGTACATGTCGAGAGTTGATATTTGGCATAGAGTATTAGGTGCCCAAATCATTTGCGCATAAAAATAATCCAGACTTGACAAATTGTCAGGGACCAAGAACTGAGTCAAAATAAAATACAAACTGGCGATCCTCTTCTACAAACAGGCAAAACTGGCACCTCACCCCACCGAAGTCAGGTAGAGGAGAGTACCTCAGTCATTCTAAGAAGTGAACTCTGACCTTAGGACCGAACACGTAGTTTCTTCTATGTTAAATAAAATTTGTAATCTGATTTTGTAAATTTGGAAGTGCTTCAAATATGATGTTAAAATGGTTTTATGTCGTTACAAGTGGGGTTTTTTTTTAACATTATCTAGTATAGTAAAATCATGGGACCGATAAAAATTTGACGTTATATTAGGGTTGTTGTTACATCCGATGACGTTATAATCGGGTTAAACTGTATATTGTTTGTGCAAAATAAAAAAATTATTTCGGACAATACAATAGCCATGATTTTTTTTTTCGAAAACAGGAAATTTTTGTTACGCATCAACAAAAATTCAACCTGGGCCGACACGCAACAGAGAGAAATTTCGAAATTGGATAGGTTAATTTTGTCAAAAATGCATCATGGACGACCTCATGGTCATGGCCGGTGAAGTTTGAATGATCGTGCCCAAAAGCAGTGATACCAAAGAAGATTGGAGAATGAGAATGAGACCCACCTTGAGTGTCAAAGTGATTCCGCTTAGTAGTGAGTCTCTGAGACATAGTCTTGTCCCAAATACGGTTTTGCCATTTTACTTGTTTTTCATCTATCTAACTCCATTCTGAAGATTAAGGAAAAACAGACAGACAGATGACAATGGGAGTTTATAGGTCTACAATTTTTTCAAATTGCAGCCCAATAAACTTTTATAACAGAGCTGAAGATATTTCCTGTGCATACTTACACAGAAAACTTTTCTTTCAAAATAATTTATCAACATGACACATCATTATATAATAGTGAGACAACCAGGAACTACTGAGTGATAATTCAGGATAAAACACACAATGGTTCCTCAAAGTTAAAGAGAAGAGAGGGAACACACAAACCAACAGAGGGAGGAGAAAGTGAAAGCAATGAGAAACAGGTTTTGAAACCACTACAAAAGAAATAAAGACCAATTTATGCAATAGGAAAGGGGACTTCTTGGTATCATCTATCTGCATCCAGGCAACATTATCCACATATATTGTTAAATTTTTATGAACTGACCAACTTCCTGAGAAAACAGAAAGGGAAAGAAAACACTCATTCAAGATTTGAATTTGAGTGATATTAGCTTCTCTGTGGATATATTATGTGTTGTAAGCTATCTCTCTCAATATTTGGAATATCAGCCAACCAGTAAATCTGTATGTTTAAATAATTAGAATAGTTAATAAATGGTGATTTTCATCTGGGTCTGTACACACTGACCTTACACCAAGGTACTGTGCATCACAATCACCATGAATTTCACATAAGCTGCCACTTAGGTATGACTGTGCATATTCAAACAGCAAACCTCTACACTTCTGTCATTAAATGATTCAGATTTGTTTTCAAGTTTATTAAATATTTATTAAAATCCATATAATAATTAACACGAACAATGTTTTATTAAATAGAGTGCGTCTTAATGTAATTCAATCTTTGTTGAATTAATTATAGAACAATAGTCTAGTTGAGATGGAACATTAACAAAGTCTCTTCTATGTTGCTTGTAGAATTGAGTTTGATCAGTTGATTTTGATTAAACTTTGTTATTTCACATCGTATGAGATGAAGAAATTAAAACTTAATAAAAATCAGGGTTCATTTTGAGATACAGTGGGGTCAAAATGACAATGTACAAGGTTGCTAGCATGAGCAGGCACAATGTTTTAAAATTCTTTTTTATTTTATATTTAATAATATGTCAATAATAATATTAACTTGCTAGCATTTTGACTCAATTCTTAGTTTGTGTTCATGAAACTAGCAAATAAACCGTGCCTGCTGTATCTCTATTTTAAATTAGTTTTATTTTATATGTTAATTACTGCAAAGAAAACTGGATATACTACTATAATTAATTAATTTTTTTTTTTGTTACTAGATTACGGTGAGTTAATTTATATAGTTCTTATATTGTTTTACAGTATGAAAACTTAAACATAAGCAAATTATATGTTATTTTTCAATAATGAAATATTTTGAAATTTATACTGAAAATTTGTTTTCGTTTAGGGTTCACATGGATTTATTACACAACATCCTTGGGCAAAAGATATAACAGCATTTATAAACATTGAAGCAAGTGGAGCTGGTGGAAGAGAATTGTTATTTCAAAGTGGTTAGTTGCTAATGTTCTGAAAAATTTGAAATTTTATTATATTTTATAGGAAATAACAAATGTATAACTTGCTATTTGTTGTTGTTTGTCAATGCTTTATTCTGTTTTTTCAAAATAATTTTAGCATGTCATTAATATAATTTCAGATAATCACTAAATAATTTTATTTATTTTTTTTATAATTAGTTACATGGTTAATTTATATCAATGTATTCAAATTAACATTTCAAAAATTTTTTAAATTCTAAAAATTGTGAAATAGATTTTATATTTATTGAATATTAAAAATTATTATTATTTCTGTAATTTTAGATAATAAGAATCCTTGGTTGCTTCAGGCCTATGCTTCTGGAGCAAAATATCCGCATGGAGATTTAATAGCTCATGAAGTTTTTCAAAGTGGAATGATTGCTGCTGATACTGATTTTAGAATATTTAGAGATTATGGAAAAATTCCAGGTAATTTAATAATAATTTGTTTTTTAGTAGAAGTCTTTCTTTACTCCAGCATCTATAGGACACCAGAATGGTGCTGGATTACCAAAAATTCCAGGTTACTTTGAAATCTTTGTATTTTTGAAAAATTTGATGTGTGCGATCTGGACATTGCAGACATTGCTATACATTTTGTACCAAAATTATTACTTCTGACTTGTTAATGCATGCTTTTTAATCATATTAATCATGTATAACTTACCATCATTCTTGCTGTGAGTAACATTGGTTTGGTAGTGCTGAATCAGACCTTTTGTCAGGCTATTATACAAGACCGTCAGTTACAACAAGAGCCTCTCTGGTGTTTATAAAGAGATAGTGAGAGCTAATAACATCAATTTACATAAAGGGTCCAAGAGTTTACTTATTACTCAAAAATGCCAAAGATTCAAGAGAAAAGAAGTATCTATCAGGTGTTTATCCCCATCCATGATAACAGAATGAACCAACACTTACAATGCATAGAAGTAATGAGCCAATCCTTAAATCTTTACATTTTTTATGCAAAGATTTAAGGATCAACTTTGTTACATAAAAACACCATCGACAATCAGCTTACCACTACTACTCTCGCAGCCTATGCTTCAGACAATGATGTCCAGGTCTTCTTCAATCTGGCCCAACTTTTACATCACACCACCAACAGGACTGATCTCAAACATTTGGACAGGCCAAAAATATCAATATATAAAGCCACAAGAAAGGCTGCTGCCATCAACTATAAGGATGCAGACTCCATTTCATTAGCTCTATTTGATATCTCAAAGAAATTTACACCATTTTTAGTTTTTATATCTTTTATTTTTCTGTTATGTAACTTGTGAATGAAATTAACCAATTATACCTGTATTCCATTAACTTTAAATTATTTGTTTATTTTTATGTTCTAATTACACACACATAATCTACAAATGACTGTTGAAAATGGTAGAAAATGTTAATTTTGGTTAAATTGTTTTGACTTGCTGGATTCTTACTGATATCAGTTTATTATATTTTGTTTCATGCTTCTAATTTAGTTTATCAAAACTGTTCCTAAAACACTACTTTGCTATTCTTATCTGGATTATCCTGTGAACATAAATACTAATTAATTGTATGTATTAATTTTTCATTCAATGATAGTTTAATTAAAAGCAGCCTATCAATTATTCTTTTTATTTGTTATTTTATTTTTCAGTTTCTCACATATAATTATTTTAACTCTATTCCATAATTTATTATTCCCAACACCATATTTAAAAGAAAGGCTAGCACAAGATAATAAGAAACTAGACTTCTTTAAAACTAGTTTCTTATAAACTTGTTCTAATTTTTCTTATACATAATATTTCAGCTAAATTCCTTACTTTTACCTATTAAAATTCCCGTTTCAAGTTGCAAATAAATTCTGATTTCTCAACTTATCTATTGAGGTTTGAACTAATTTTCTTAGACCTACACAGGGAACAAATTTCTTTTAATGGAGAAGTAAAGGCCCATTTTCATAATTAGAGAGAGAGTAGGAATTGTTCATATTTTATTCTTAGAAATATTTCAAAATATAATTATAATATATTTTCATTTAATTACAATTTCTTTCATCATATTTGTCTAAATGTATACATGTTCACAGTTAGTTATATTTTAAATTATGAAAATTACAATAAACTTACATTCATTTTGATAGTAAAATAATAATTATCTTTTCATCACAGAAGATTTTTATGATGAAAAGTTAAAGAAATATTGAGTACAAATTTCTGACACAAAGGAATTGGGTTAAAAGAGGTTGATGTTGCTTGGTGCAAGCCTAAAGTCTGTTTGTGAAGAATTCTAATTTCATCCACCAACTATTTAAACTTGGCAAACAACTAAAGATTATAGAAAATTTGCATGCTTCAGGGAGTTGGATTTGATAAGATGTATTCAAAATGTTTCAGTGATTATAGTTTTCTTGATGTACTAACAATCTACTAGTGCAAAGTGATTTTTCAATTTAACTGGTTTTTCAAGCCTAGAAGTGGTAAGCCTAGACTTCTAGGCTTACCACTTCTAGGCTTTCAACTCAACCATTATTGAATGTATTTCAAATATTTCAAGTTAAGTTTGAGAATTTTTGGCTCCTTGGTGAATTTAATTATCATAAAACATATGTATACATTATAAAACCTAAACTGTTCTCACTGTATATTACAAATAGTAGCACCAATTTGTATATTTATGTAGTTTTAATCAATATTACTAGTACTCTTTACTAATCACTTAAAAACACTATGAACTCTACTGTAAATGTGTTCTGGTAAGTAAAATAGTGAAAATACTGCAATAACAAACTGCAGAAACTTCCTGAAGACTCATGGAAAGACAGAAGTTCATCCTCTAGCATCATCAGTAGGTGGAAATCTCATTTGGGAGGCTTTCTTACAGAGTGTTAATGCAGCATGTTCTCTGTGCATGTGATTTATGGGTAATTGAAAACAGTAGTTAATTCTTTCTGTGGGTTGTGTTTATTTAATATTTGTTTGTTGTTCATGGTACAGAGCCTAGTCATTTAATAATGTTTTAAAGAAAAATTTGAAAGTATTTGGTACCAAGAAACTTGAAATTGGAGTAATGATGTCATATTGGAAATGAGGGTGGAAGGAGGAGGAGCAATGCTCATCACACTCATTGTTACTGAATATCCTTTTCTCAGAGTGTCATCTCTGCATAAAGATAGTAAGAAATTAAAGATTGTATTAATGCATTCAGAAAAGAGATTTAAAATAAAAGGCAAATATTTTTGATCTATGTTTATATAAAAAATTGTTCATACTTTTGGTATTCTGACCTTTTCCAAAGTTTCAATTTTAATATTTCCGTTACTTTCATAACTTATATAAATTAGCTTATTCTATTAATTTTATCCAATAAATTAGTATTGTTTTTGTTACAATTCATATCATTTTGAAAAATTTTGCATATGTTTTCTCACCAGAGAAGTTAGAATAACTGAAATATTTTTATCTTTTAGATCATATACCATTGCAGAATTATTAATTCAGTGAATTTATGAATTGAAATATTAGTAATATTTCTTAAATTGAATTTTATCTATATTATCAATAAATTATTTAATTACTTATTACAAATTATTATTATTTTATGATGATACAATTTTATATTTAATATAAATTATTATTCTGCTGATGATAAAAAAAATTATTTAATGTTTATAACATAATAAAGATTTAAGTAGAATTAGTTTTGAAAATAAATAGTATGTTTCAAGCTTTAAATAATGAAGTTATAAGTTTTACTATTTTCAAAAGTTTGAATTATTAAAGTCAAAATTTTCTAATGATATTTTGTTTGAATTTATAGGTCTTGATTTTGCATTTGTAAAAAATGGTTATGTTTATCATACAAAATATGATACTCCAGATTTTGTACATCCTGGAAGCATTCAAAGGACAGGTAATATTTTTCAAATATTATGTAATATAATCAAAAGTGAATTTTAAAGTATAGTTCATTGTAGAAATTTTTATAAAGTTCTAAATATGTTGGAAATTTGCTATCTATTACTTTTTTTTTTTTTTTTTTGAACAGATATTCAATAATATAATTTCTAATGAAATATTTTATTTGACATGCTTCAATATTATGTACTATGCTATGTATCTACACTCAGACTGTTTTAAATATTCCATATAATAATCGCAACAGTTTTAAATACAGTAGAGTCCCGTACAACACACAAATAAAGCAAGCAACCTTCTCAAATTTTGTCGATCAGAGGTATACATTTTTTTTTTTTCTTCAACTTATAGGCCAAAGTTTAAACTTTCATAAATCGTGTGATAATGCAGGTTTTGATAGTGCAATTTCCTATAATGCATAACGAATCCCCCGCATTGTACAGGACTCTACTGTAAAATAAAATCCACCTCTCTACAATGTTTGATTTATGTTATTTATATAAATGATATCCTGCAATTTTATCTTCTCTAATGTATTATGTATACATTGTATGTGGGCATCATCCAACAGCTCGTATATGAATCATTTTCCCTGGAACACCCAAAAGAAAAAACTTAAAATTTTTGAATAATATGCGGTTTATGTAACATTATAAAACAGCATTCCAAAGAAATTTACATATATTAAAAATAAATTGGCTGTAAATGGGTTAACTAACAAAGTATTTGTTGTTATATGTTGATGATTTTAATGTTTTATTGTACTGATGTATAGATTAATTTAAAATTATTGAAGGTTATGTAATTTTAAATGTATTTATTTTTTTAGGTGAAAATCTGCTTGGCTTAATTGAAAATGCCCTTAACTCACCATATTTAGGTCATCCAGAAAAATTTAAGAGTGGAAAACTTGTATATTTTGACTTTTTAGGGCTATTTTTTGTAAATTATCCTGCTAGTATTGGTGCTATATTAAATAGGATTATTGTTGTGTTACCCTTGATTCAAATTTTCATGAGAATACGATTTGCATCAGGACCAAGTAAGTATCATTTAATGCTTTGTGTGTACACAAAATTGAATATTACAACCAGAATATTATCTTTCTGAAGGAAAAAGTTTTCAATTTTTTATTATAATGATAACATTGATTTCAGTTCAATGTTCAAGGCATTAATTTCATCTTTTGAATTTTTTAGATAACTGAATGGAAAAGCCATCTTCAGCTTGATCTGAATAAAGAACATTATAATTTAAAATTTTGACTATAACTATTGAACATATCTAATTAATAACATTTAAAATTAGAGTAATGCCTATGAATGTAAGCACATTCAAGAATTTTTCTGTCAGATGATTAATACATAAACATGTGTGAAAAATTTATTTTACAATGTAATAAATAAATTTAAACATAAAATAATAGATATTTGAACAGGAACGCTTACGACATCTATAAACTAGCTCCCTTTCATTCTCTTCAAAAAAGGACTATTACCCACTTATAGCCTTTACTTTAGAAGGAAAGGAATGTAACATTGTTATATGCTCTTCCTAATGTAATTAAAGACTTAACCTTCTCACATCTTTATTCAACTGTTAAGAAGAATAATCATTTAACAAAGATGACATGTTCAAATTTCTATCAATCACCAGTAAACACTAAGCTCTATAATTGCATTATTTTATTAAAGGATCAAATATAAAATTATGCATTAACAGATTTCTTGCTGTGTTGTAAATGTTAAGAACAGATAAAGAAAATATTAAGGCCTTAGACAAAGTAATATGAACATGATAATAGCTGTTATTACATGGGTTCTATTTTTCAGGTCTTTGAAAGTAAAGTAAAGACAGAAATTTCACTGGCACTGTTATAATGAGCTATAAAATCTGATGTCAGTGTTATGGAAAGCCCTTAATGATTTGCAGTATAAAAGGACATTATCCACTTAGATTGATGGAGCAATTATATATATTTTTTTTCTAGATATGATAACATTATTAATAAACATGATTCATGCCCCTTACATCAGATATAGAGGAACTGTTGGACTACCATGACTGTTACTTCCTCTACAATACAGTAAATATCTATTGTTGATAAGTTCACAGTTATTAGAATTATATATCTTACTAATTTATTGTTTAATATTATGTTTTAAATATTTTTGTGTTCATCATCTGACAGAAGAGTCAAATTTAAACTCCATTCATTTACTGAAACTATCAGCTGAAAACTTTGTCATACACTTGCATTAACTGACATTATTTTAATTTTCAATGATGTTAATTTTCAATTTTCAGATAAAGGAATAAATATAAGCAAAAACTTTTTTCTGATAGTTTCTCATTTGGTTGCCTTAATTAGTAAGCTGCTTGCATTTTACTTTCCCAGCTGATATAGAAAATAACACAGGGAAAATATGATGACAGATCAAATCTTGATCCCAGTTTTTATGCATGTCTTAACATTTTGACACTTAGACACTTAAGGAGTCCAAAAATGTAAAAAAAAAAAAAACCAGAATTTTGTGAGGGTTTTGTGTGTGTGTGTCAACATGTATTTTGCATTATATCAGAACTGGATGAACTAAAAATTTTGAAATTTGGCAGGGTTATTTCTATATTTGGAGAATTGATGCTATTAAATTTTGTGGTTAATGGTCAAAAGGCTGGGAAGATAGAAGGGGTCACATGTCATATGTTGAGTGGAGTCAGACTGAATGAAATTTTTAGTCATTATTGGCATTTACAGTTTTTCAGAAACTCATCTCTACCCTAAAAATTCAGTCTTTTGCCTTTTATAATNATTGTACTCATGTTTTTTAGTGTTTTTTAAACTTAAATATTTTTTAAATAGAGAAATTTCTCATAATTAAACAAAATTACTCCTCTTAAGTTTTTGTTGTTAAATAAATTTTATATTGTAATATAATTGAAAATTATTGTCAGTCCTTTTGGTCCTTAACTTCCTGTTCAATTGCTGGGAAAGTTGAGCAATAGCCCTTCCCTGCTTTTTTTTTATTTGTACATAAATGATATATTTTTAATGAAACTTTGAAAAGTGATATGTTTTAAATACACATTAAATTGAAAACTTTTGATCCTTAGCTAGATTAATGTGTTAATATTTCAAATTTGAATGTTACTTTATACTTTATACATCAAATTTAAATTTTAATCTAAATTTGATGTATAACATATAAAACACTTACAATTTGATATTACTGTATGTATTACAGAAAATATTTTTCAAACATGAAAGATTTTAAATTTTAATATATTTTATAAATTTTATTTTCTTTAGAAAGTAGTCCAATTCATGAATTGAAAAGGCTTCTAACTGCTTTGGCAATATCTATTGGAGCATTATTTGTTTCTTGTTTTGTGTGCTTCAACATAGCTTTCTTTCTTGGGTGCATTGGTGGTGCAATGTCTTGGTACAGTAAACCGTATTGGATATTTGGATTATATGTTTGTCCTTCTATAGCATCTATGATTGCATTGCATTGGTATTTTGTAATCAGAAGAAGGAAGGTAAATATTATAAAAATAATTACAGTAGACTCTTGATAATTCATACCAAAGGAATAGAGAAAAACTTTTAAGTAAATGACATTTCGAATTATAGAAACTACCGTGTTTCCCTGAAAATAAGACATCCGCAGAAAATAAGACCTAGCACAGATTTTGCTGAATTGCGAAATATAAGACCTCCCCCTGAAAGTAAGACCTAGCAAAGTTTTTTTAGTCGTAATGGTCATCGACAGATGGTTGAAAGTGGCTGTTGCCTTTTTGAAAGTACAGCCACTGATTGGTCAGCAGACAATTACGATACACGGCATGATTATCACAAGACTATGGCTTGGGAATCACAGATTTGCATAACGTTACGGCTGGTGATGGCTAATTGGTCGGCCGGGAATCACGCCACATTACATTTGCATAGTGCTACGGTTCAGTAAGCACTATTGGTCATCGAGTCCGATGTTGACGCTATGAAAAGGCGACAGTTCGACACACCGGATATACGTCACTCTCTTCTAAGTTCGACTTGGGAATTATTTTGTTCAATAATAAATGTGAATTCTTCTTCCTGGAAAAAATAAGACACTCCCTGAAAATAAGACCTAGCACATTTTTCAGAGCAAAAATTAATATAAGACACTGTCTTATTTTCGGGGAAACACGGTACTGTCATTTTAGTGAAATTGTAAATAATGCAATACAAACAATATAATTAGACTTAAATAGACTATTTTATTACTCTTTAAATATGTTTGTGTTAGAATCATATATCAAAAATGTCCAATGAGCAGAAAAATGACCAGAATGTATTGTGGCTTTGCAGAAACAGCCTTGACAAGAAAGTTTTCATTCTGGCTGCTTATAAAGAAAACAATGTATTCTGGCATTTTAAAAATTCCACGATGCAAATTTATGTTGGGACAGTTGAAAAATATGATTACAATTCCAGCATTATCAGCATGAGCATTTTTATCACACATGCAAACAACAATTTGCCACCTTAAATCTTATTGAGAAAGAAAAATGGAACTTGTTCAAAATCAATTCAGTCATTTGTCAGTTTTGATCTGATGTCACATCAGCAACCATTTCTGGACTCTATTAGTTGGGTGCCGAGAAATGTCTAATTGAACAGTTCTACACTTGCAATGAGTTTACAACTGCTGACAACTTGGTACATGATGTGCCTTCAAGTTTATCATTTTTTTGTTCAGCCTCAAATATAACATGTGAAAATAAACATGGGTTTGTAAATTGCAACTGTGAAAGATACTGTATTGACCAAAATGTGAAAATGATGTTTGAAAGATATCAACTGAAATTTTAAATGTTATTCTAACTGTTCCTGCAAAAATAATTTAGCTTGGCCATTGTTCTTAATTATTATACATATTTTGTCATATAGCCTAAACTGTATTCGCTACTACAGAATAAACAGGAAATAGCCATCATACATTGTGGCATGTTGATAATGCTGGAACACATTATGATCATATTTTTTTTAACAGTCCCAACATAAATCATGGTATTTTTAAATTCCAGAACATGTTGTGACTCTAAGCAGTCAGGGTGCAAAATTGCTTGTTGTTGCTGTTTCTATAAAGCCACAAGACATTCTAGATGGGTTATTTTTGCTGATTGAGCATTTTCAGTCTTTGAGCCTAACATATGAACAAAATAACAAAACAAAAATACTATTGGTGAAAAGTCTGTTATGAGTTCATCATCAACAATTCATTGTTTCTTGTGCAACAATTTTTTTGATGCAGTCAACCACTTCACAAGTATCTAATTTTATGAATGATGTAGTTTCTAGAAAGCCCTTAAAAGCTTAAGAGTTTTTCTCCTTTCCTAGATATGAGGAGCAGGGTATTATCTTTGACAGGATTTATTTCTTCCTCATCATTGTTGATTGTTTGTTATATTTGTTCTTACTTCATTATTGATGATTTCAGATAAGTGTGTACAGACAGCTAGGTCATTGTCAACATTGACAAAATCTTCTAATGACACTTTTTCATAAATCATTGCTGTAATGAGATTGGTGCAGTCTTCAGCAATATAGTTGGTGGATTCTGATGGAAATTTCAATTTATTTGAAATATTGACAAATTGGTGACTGAAACCTGTTTTTGTAAAGCAATTTGCAATGATACTTTGTGGAACTTTGTTAATCATTTGCATTTCATCTAATAGTTTCATACAAACTCATCTAAACCATCTTGAATAATATGCAATATTTTTTGTACAATAAACTTTCTGGATCATAACTTAAAGTTTTGAATGATTAGCTGATTTAAAGGCTACAATCTAGAAGTTGTACTTTGTGGTAAAAATTGAACTCTTGCAACTTTGAGGAGAACCACCAATTTTGGAACTCGCCAAAATTGCACTGTAGTTGAGAATAAAAATAAAAATTTTTCTGGTTTTAAGCAATCATGCAGATATTTAGTTTTTTCAACCAGTTATAAAAAAGCTCTGATGCATCCATCTTTTCTTATTTGCTGCATATTATGTAAGTAACGTCCTGGCATTGGAAAATCCATAAGGTTGAAGCTTGATAGATTTTCCAATTAATAATGATGACAGTTTTTTATTATTTATCATGTTTTCCCCAAAAGAAGAGTTGCATGTTGTTTGTTTTTTTTCTACATTTGTGATATGAGTCATCTTTGAACATCACTGTTTTATCCCACAGACATTTAAAAAATAAGCTCAATTTGTCTGTATTAAAAATATTATCCGGGTTATATTTCTACACAGTTTCTGGTAAATTTTTCAACTGGTTACTTTGCACAATTTTCACATTATTGCAATTTAACCACAGATTATATTGAAAACTATTCCTTGCCTCTTTTTAAATTAATCCAACCACTGATGCTTTGAATAAAGTATATCCCATCTAATCTTTGAATTGTTCACCCTTTTTTTCCTTTAAGAAATTTTTTGTTGATAGGAACATTCTTGTCTCTATACTATACAAACCATTTTAAAATGCGTTTTTTTTAACATATGGATACATACATTTATGCTTTATTTTCTGTTCTGTCTTGATTGTATTGTTTATTGAAACTTTCCAAAATCTTTCTCTTGTTTTTCAGATATGTAGAGAGAGTATTCAGTGGAATATCAAATTCTTTTAGTTTTTCATTTTTCTTTTTACTTTTCTCTGCAGTCTTTATGGCAGATAAATTTTCTGATATTGACAAAATTTTTAGCTTTCTCTTGTTTACCATTTCTATCTACTTCAGAATGAAAATGGTCAATACACTGATTAACTGGTCATTATTAACTATGAAAATACTAATATGCAATTCAAACTTTACAATGAAATTTATACAGTATGAATGTTTAGTTCTAAATAAGAAAATACCTGTAGACAAATGCATAAATTCGATCGGCCAATTATTCAGTATGTTATCAAATCACATGTGAATTTATTATGTTTTTAAATTTTCAAAATATAAAAATTTAAAAAGTAGCAATTTTGAACTAAGTAACTAAGATTTGCAGAGACGTACTTAATTTTGTAGAATGCCAGTTTTCAACTTCATGAAACTTTATCCATTCCCTTGAAAATGTGAAATAAAGTACACAAAATCAGACATGAAATAGTCTTCGGATATTAAATTTTTAGTTTGCAAAATATGATCTCAAAATTACTTTGAATTATAGAAACACAATGCATTGAGTCTATGGGAATGAAGTTGAACAAAAATAAAATTTGAGTTAAAGAAATTTGAATTATCAAGAGTCTGCTGTATTTAACTTTAATGATAGGAAATAACCATAGTTAATTAAATGTTTCATAGGATGGTGGTGATGATTGGTTAGCAGAAGAAGTTAATTTTGAAGCTGCTCGATTATTTTGGATTATGCTGATGTGCATTATCATGGGTTGTAATTTTCATTCAGTCTACACCAATGCATGTTTCTTATTTTTTCCTACTGTCTTACGCCTGTTAGGAGATTCGTGGGTGAAATCACCTGAAAAAGGTATTTTTTTTCTGTATTTAATAATAGAAACATTTTTATATATATAATATAAATAAACAAAATAAAAAGTTATTAAATAAAAATATTTTAGAAAAAATTAAGTCAGCTAAATTAAAGTTATGCAGATTAATGGATCACAAAATTGAATATTTCAAAATTATAAAAAGATTGTTATTTTGGAAATGGTCATTAAAAATTTTATTAGAAAGGAGTTTTAAATAAACTACTAATTATAATTTATAAGTAAAAATTAAGAAAGAAAGAAAACAGTTTTAAAAAATGTGGATATCATTTTTTCTATTTTTTATATAATTGTAAGTATAAATTCATAGTTATTTTATATAATTGTTTTGCTAATTTTAAACTTTTATATACAGTAGTAAAAAAAATGTTTCTATGTTAATATATGTAGAATTTTTACTGTAAATTTTATTAAATATTTTTAAAAAACTAAAATTCATTAAAGCTTAATACCTTTGCAATTATTATTGTTATAATTATTGTAAATACATAACAATAAATTTTTATGATTTGCAACTATCCATTCTATTCACAATTTTAGTCAAATTGGTGCCTTCTGGCACTGTGTGATAATTATTTTAAAAGAAATAATTCCAAAGTATTCTCAAGCACTTTCAATATAGGTGCATATTCATTTATTCAAGGTTTTGAGCCCAATTCTAGATACAGACAACCTTGTATAACATGGTTGTTAGCTTCCTATAAAATTTTGTAGTGTGAAACTATGTTCGATGGGACTAAATACCAGTAGAAGGGTTTTTACATTCAAAAGCTAATGAAAATCTGTCAAATTTGCAATAATAGAAGATTCTGCAGCAATGACAAATTCTGTAATGGTCTGGATTATTACATCATTTAAATTTCATCTTTTTTGCAACATATACCTTTTCTCCTTTTAAAAATGATTCAAAATTTATATTTTTGATTCTAGAAAAATATTATTTCTCTTATTAAGTAGTGTCTTTTTACTTTCATTAAGAATTTAGGACCGAATTTACTGAAATTTAATTTACAACAAAAAATTATTCCAGTGTAATTCTTAATGAAAAAGTTTAGGAATATGTACCCATAGAAATTAATAAAACTGATCAAGGAAGAATCAAAATAACCTTATTAAAATCTTAAGTTATAAACTCTACATACTTAAAGTTTCTGGAATTTTCTAGACTTTTATAGTGCAACATTTATTTCAAAAACCAAAAATAGTTTGTTCAAGAAAATAATTGCCATTATATTGAAGCACCTTCTTTAATCAGTTGGACAAGTCACGGATTCCTGCTGAATAAAACTCAGGCTATTTTGATTTGTATAATTCTACAGGTGCAATTTTTATCTCGTTATTAGCAAATTGCTTTCCATCCAAGAAATATTATAAGAGATAGTAGTTGGATGATGCAATGTCTAAACTATATGAGGGATGAAGGAGAATCTCCCAGCCAAGATCAAGCAATTCTGTAGGTCAAGCATTGGGTGTATTCAAAATCTCAGCATCAATTTAGTGAGATGCTGTCAGAAGTGATGCAACTGCTGGTGTTTACTAGATAACACAAAAGCTGACTGCTGGGAATTTCGGGAGAGAAAAACAATAAAAATGGCAAATGATGTGGACTTCCATGTTACGTTAAATTTATTTTTGAACTTATTATCATTTTTCATTAAGCTGTTCTCATTAAATGTTTCGAAAAGAGACATAGGGATGAAGACTTTTTAAATTTACATAGGAGTTTTAAATAATTAAATCAATCCTTACACTTTAACAACTTAAACAAATTATGTGATGTCTTACGTAGATATACTAGTATATTAAAATAACCTATTAATGTACTAACCGAATTTTAACTAATTCAGTGCTTACTCGTAAACAAATCAATTAAATTGAAAATTGTCAATGCAAAATAGAGCTCTTATGAGCCTCATGGTGGCTGCCATCTTGCTTGTGGTGTATGGAGCATCGAAAAAGATGCTTACAGTTTGCTGGAAGCACACTGACAGCAACCGGAAGTTGTCTGAAATTTTGAACAGAGGTGTTGAGAGGTGCTGGCTGCATGCTGAGATTTTGAATACGCCCATTGATCTTGCAGATCTTTCCAATGGCAGCTAAATGAAAAACTATGGCAGACTGGTCACAACCACCAAATGTCTTTCTCATTTCTCATGTAGTCAGGCATGGGTTGCTTTCACAACTCTTCTTCCAATAAGAAAGAAGGCATTCCTGAAAATGGCTTATCTTCAGCTTCATATTGTCCAGCTTTAAATTTACCGAACCAATCGTAGATTGTAGACTTAAAGACAAAATTCTTTTGAAACAATTGCACCATATGATGATAAGATTCAGCAGCTTTTATACCAAATTGATAATTGTAAAGCACACATGTGCAAATTTGGCCACAAGAAAGTGTTGGAAAACTTGATATATTTAAAAAGTGGTATTGCCACACATAATATTGCCACACACAATATCTTTTCACTTATTATTGAGCATGTCAGCACCCTTCATTTACATACTTCACAAGAAACTTCTAGATGCTATCAATTGGAGAACAATTTTGAATATTCTAGAGATATCTGGAACTTCCAGAAACTTATGCATTAACCCAATATTTTAAAATCTAACTTATTATTACTTATAAGTTTATATTAAAATGGAGCTCTCCTATAAACAAATGATATTAATGTACAAATGTGTTTACATTTCTCTGATCTTTCAACTATAAAAGTAAATTTGCAATCCTTTACAATTAATATTATTAAATTTATATTTTTATAAACAGTAAAACTGATTTTATAATTTGGAGATGTAAACATGATCCAATGAGCATAATCTTAACCAAATTCTTTTATAGAAATTTGATTTGATATAATTTACATTTACTACACTTGCATCCAAATAACATGAACATATACTGCATTAACAACATTTAATTAATGTCAGTGTAAAAAACTTGCCCTATTTCTATTCCTTATTTTAAATTTATACAATGCTCTCTTTAGCTTGTTGGAGTTGCCACTAAGTATTGAGTGTTAAACTTTAAAGCTTTTTAACACACAAAACATTTAAGATTTTTTAGTAATATATAGATAAGATATAGTATCGATGAACTACTGTAATATAATTAATTAACATTAAAGTAATAATGATATTAATGCTGATTATGTAGCTTAAATATTTTTTATTATTCAATTATAATAAACATTTCATTCAAACGTTTCATTTAATTATTTATACATTATTATATTTAAACATTATAAAAATAAGTATTTATTTTTGTCTATTTCTCTAGATTCAAATAAGAGAGTGGTTATTAATTTAATTATGCAATTTTTTCCACTGTTGTTGGCACTGTCAGATGTTTGGTTAGTATATGAAATATTTATTCCAATTATGGGAAGAACAGGTGCTGCTAATCAACCTGAATATTTCATTGGAATTATAACTGGATTTTTTACCTTTTGTAGTTTCTCATATATTGTGAGTATATTTATCATATGTTANGCAGATAAATTTTCTGATATTGACAAAATTTTTAGCTTTCTCTTGTTTACCATTTCTATCTACTTCAGAATGAAAATGGTCAATACACTGATTAACTGGTCATTATTAACTATGAAAATACTAATATGCAATTCAAACTTTACAATGAAATTTATACAGTATGAATGTTTAGTTCTAAATAAGAAAATACCTGTAGACAAATGCATAAATTCGATCGGCCAATTATTCAGTATGTTATCAAATCACATGTGAATTCATTTCTTGTGAAAGAAACATTTCTTATTCAACGGCTATTAAAATTATTTATATTACAGATAACTTTAATACAACTTGTAAGAGAAATTTATAAAACATTGATAACATTAGTTGTAATTACAATAGTAACATTAGCAATTATTTGCTTAACTCCACTTGGATTTCCTTATTCTGACAATCCCAAAAGTCCTTCATTGCAAAGATTTTTTATTATGGTAAGCTTAATAATGAATTGAATTGAAAAAATAAATGTATTTAGTTTAATATTTAAGAATAAATTTATGATATGTTAAATTTTAGTTTTGTTTTTTTTTTTTCAATTCTAAGAAATAAATGTTTATATATACTAGCATATAGAACGCACATTTCATAATAAAGCTGGTGAAATAACAGCAAATGACTGGGGATTTTGGATTGTACCATTGGATTTTAATGGACCAGAGTCCCTTTATCCACACATTTCAGAACTTAAAAATGCTGAATTGATGGATTGCAGTAAAGAATTATATTGTGGAATGCCTTATTATTTTCCAGTTGTGACAAAACTCAGGTAAAACTACTAAACTGTTTTTTTTTTAAATTCAAATACTGCATGTGTTGTGTGTGTTTAAATTTTTATTTAAAATTTTCTAAAATGTATATATTTTCAATGAGCCTCATGGTGGCTGCCATCTTGCTTGTGGTGTATGGAGCATCGAAAAAGATGCTTACAGTTTGCTGGAAGCACACTGACAGCAACCGGAANATTATATTAGGGAATGCCTTATTATTTTCCAGTTGTGACAAAACTCAGGTAAAACTACTAAACTGTTTTTTTTTTAAATTCAAATACTGCATGTGTTGTGTGTGTTTAAATTTTTATTTAAAATTTTCTAAAATGTATATAATTTCCTCTTACATATTACGATTGAAAATTTAAAGTCCTATAATAGAGAATAACTAATTAAATAGGCACAATGTTTGTGTATAATTTATTATTTCCATTCATTTTAGAACAAACAAAAGATAAATATATAAATAGTTTATGGAAAATGCCATCTTTATAAAAACTAATGATTTTCTTGATTTTAGTAGAAGTCAACTTTATTTATTTATATCATAGTTATAAAGTTTTTCATGTACAAGAATTTGTGCTGTAGCAGTTTGCTTGTTTTTGCAATGTATATATACAGCCGTCCTCCATCATCCTATTGCCCACCATTCCTGTCAGATTGACCTACCGGCAATAAAATCCTAATATTACATTTAAAACTATCTGACTATTTCCTATACAAATTACTATATTAAATATTCTGGACAATAAATATAATTAATAAATTCCTAATTTCTTATTATATACTAAAAACCTATATAGGATAAGCAGTTGTAAAAGATAAATAAATAAAACTTAATTTAAAATACGGTTATTATGTCTCATTTTCAGCATTTCAGTAAATACTATAAAAGTCTTATTATATACTGTTGGACTGCAAACTAAAAATGTATATGAATCTTCTAAAACATTATTAAAAACTTCATTATTTCTAAAATGCACAAATAATGGGCAGTCAAACATAAAATGACGTAATGAATCTATTGGACCACACTTAGAAAGTGGAGAGTCAACTAATCAGAAACTAAACAGTTTTTCTCTATAGACTCCATGTCTCGATAATATTTGTGTTATAAAATAATTTGGTTTAATCCAATGTGCCCCAAGCCTTTCTCTAACAGTGGGAAAGAATAAGTAAGTCACGCGTCTCCTCATATCACTTTGCCATCTATCCTCCCATTCTTCTATTAAATTATTTTTGACCTGTTGAATTATTACTTGACCAGCACACCCAGACATCTCTGGCCGGTGTTCAATGTTCCCATAAGTAAAGGATCTTAATGTATATATGCAGTCGCCCCCCCATAACACTGTTGATAATTTCATTTTATATGAATTCCATGTTGTATGAGTCACTTAGATTTTACAAATAAATGAGCTGTTCATAGCCTGGCGCACATATTTGTAAAATCTAAGTGGCTCATACAACATGGAATTCATATAAAATGGAATTATCAACAGTGTTATAGGCGAATTGACTGTACAATCTGTCCACAGGAGGAACCACCTGATGATATAGATATATCTAATGTATAGTACAGACACATTATTATTTTTAGGGAATGTAGTTTATGTCAAATTTCTTAAATCTGAAATAGCTTAAAATATACATATGTAATATTTTAAGATATAAATGTAGCTTTTATATGATTAATAATAATTTCTTCAGTATTTATTAATATTGAATTCTATTGACATAAAAATAATAGGATGTATTGTCTAAATAGCGAGTTTGTTTATTCGATTATGTGACATAAATTCAAGCTCAGAAATTGAATTAACAACAGTTTTAATTAGAATGAAATAATTATGTAGCATTAGATGTTTTGTATCTTTAACACACTTACTTGAGAAAATGCATTTATCCTATCACTTGTATTTTCTATCCTATCGTTTTGATGTTATATATTTCATTCTTTGGAATGTCTTTTTTATATGTATAAAATGCTTATTTTCAGGTAGCCAGCTGTTTAAACTGGCTACCTGAATATGGAGTCAAAAACATATAAGGTAATATATTACTAATGAAATGTATAGAAGTATCACAAAATGTCTTCTTTTAAATCTTAATGTCCTTTTCACACTTTGGGAATAACTGTCCTTACGGCAGTCAACTTTCCTTTATAGGCTACTCTTCTGCCTCAACATGTAAAATATGGTTATTTTTAACTGGTTACTGACAAAATACAGTTATTTTTTTATCGTATTTAACATATTGAGGCGGAAGAGTAGCCTAAAAAGAAAGGTCAACTCTGCTGTAAGGACAGTTAGTTTCTAAAGTGTGAAAAGGATGTTAAGATTTAAAAGAAGACATTTTGTGATACTTCTACACCTTTAATTTGTAATGTATGAATCTTGTCCTGGCATGTTATAATTATATATTTTAATATAATGTAATATTTGATGTCTTTCTTATTTGGACAGACTATATATGCTGGTGGGAATGCCTATTTTTTTTACTTTGTGAATATTAATATTTGGTCTTACACAATATCAGATTTACTCAGATTGGTTTAATAATATATAATATAGCCTTCATTTAAAAAATATATATATCATCAAGTTCTTGCTAGTACTGCACTGATAACCAATATATCAAACCAAAGTATATACGATATTTCAGTATTCCATATTCAATATGCCAAATATTGATATATTGAAGGAATCTCAGTATCAAGTGCAATATTGATATAGACATTTTAGCTTAGCACAATCTTAGTCCTCACTTAAAATCATTTTATTAACATCATGTTTTAATATCATTGAAGAAAGATACAAGTACATTTGAAATCATTTAAATTATTATTGTTGAAATTTCTATATACAGGTAACCCCCATATAAAATGGTAGTTACGTTCCAAAAAATTGCCGTGTTATGCGAATCAAAAAACTGGTACGAAAAGGAGGGTTACGTTCCAAAAATTAAAAAACATGCTACTATATTTTCATAATTAAGATAAATATCTTCATTAAAATTTTCTTAAGTGATACATACTAATATAAATTAAACAATGTTTTCTTTGTCATCACTAAAAGCACTATTAACCGAGAGCGTTTTATTTTTGGCAAGTTATCGTTATCCTCTAAGCATTTTTCTGCATTATTTTCGGATTCATGCTTTACCTTTTGCAAAAAGTGTATGTAATTTTAGATTGCTTGCTTCTAGTTAAAAGATCTTTATAATTTCCTTATATGGTGCTAAGCACTTATGGAATAAGAGAAAAACATCTGGCAACACCAGAAGCAGAAGCATCGAGATATGGCAAAATTGAAACAATTTTCGCGAAGGACCATGTGTATGGAGACGAGAAAAGAAAATTTACATACTTAAGTACTAATAGTTCACGAAAATAATATTTTCGTGAACTATTAGTACTTAAGTATGTAAAAATTTATTACATTTCATGTTGTACAAGGGTTTTACCCATTTCTCGAACCGTGTCAGACTGAATCCGTGCTATAAAAGTATCGTGTTATACGGGGGATGGTACCAATTCTCAAACCGTGTTAGAGTGAATCCGTGCTATAGAAGTGCTGTGTTATACAGGGGTTACCTGTAATAGTAAAATTGATTGCAATCTCCAGCATTTTAATTCCCATTTCATAAGATGGGAATTAAAATGCTGGAGATTGCAAACATGTTTTAATTACAATATTACTTGAATTGTATTTTGTTTATATTGTTAACTTATAGTAAAATTGGTTTTGTTTTACTATATGTTTTACTTAACATCACAATTTCTAAGAACCTATCAAATTTGTTACTACAGTGGGTGATCGGCTAACAAACATAATCTGTAATTCAAGACCATATTCTCTACCTGAATTGTTTGTTAACCAATTATCGATTTACCATAGATTTTTATGGGAATTTGATTAATTCATTCTGGAGACCCCAAAAAAAAATAAAAATTTATATACTTTCTTACTATGTTTATTTATATGTAATAATAATAATATATATATATACACACATTTTTAATCAGTCATGTTTTTTTTTTCCATTTGCAGGGTGTTAATGAATCTGTCCAATGTTGATTTGCTTTTCTCTCTTCTTCAGGATTTTTCGGAAGTAATTAATAGCATTATCATTGTTATATTTTGAAAAGAGCCTGCGTGACACATGCCCTTTAATTTGATCTCCACATCACTGGCAGTCTTTCTTTAATTATGGAATTTTTTTTAACGCTCTAGGGTTTCTCAGAGTGATAGACAAGAAGCAGGATAAGCTTCATATCACCACTAGAATTAGCTCCCAAAAGTAACATTAATTGGTTTTTCATGGATTTATGCCCAGGAATATTTTTCTGATCTTTCATGATGTAGATATGGTTCGGCATGCACTTCCAAAATAAACCAGTTTCATCACAATTGAAAATTTGTTGTGGACAATATCCTTTTTTTAATAAATTCTTCAAATGTGAGACAGAACTTCTCATCTTCTTCTTTATCTACACTAGCAGATTCACTGTGAATTATCACATGTTTAAAGCCAGATCTCCTCCTAAACTTTGCAAACCATCCAGTGGTAGCCTTGAATTCTATCTCCATATGAGGAATGTGGAGTTTGTTTCTTCAGTTCTTCAAAAATTTCTCTAGCTTTCTCTTGAATGATAGTCATACTAGTTACATCTCTTTTCATTTCCCTTTCTTTTATCCAAATTAAAAGCAATCTCTCCAATTTTTTTATGGATGGCACATCTTTATTTTTCAGATGTGATTTTCATTACTCCTTTAGATGCTTGAGTCTTCTTGATTATATCTTTCTTAGCTAAGATTGTGCCTACTGTAGACCTGTTCAAGTCATACTGCCTAGCAACATCAGACACCTTCTGCCCAATGGATATTATCTCTTGTTTGGTTTCTATGGTGAGCACAGTTCTTGACACTCCACTCTTTTTAGGCTCCATAATATTATTGGTTTCTTTTTTTAAATGAAAAGTTCAGAAAAGCATTTACAGAAATTTATAGAATAGGAATCAACTAATGCACAAAAAGTTATATAAATGTGAGATCAAACAGAATTCAAAATTTAGTGTCAAAACATTAACGAATATCTGATGGGACAGTTAAACCAATGCCTTTTGAAAATAAAAACCGATGCAAAACTTAACAAGTGCTCAACAGTCTTGTGAAGGCTATAAAAAATTCTTTCTGTCAGAAAGATAAAACAATAAGCTGGAATTAGAAGTGATAGTTTCAAAGTTTGGAGAAATACTATCTGATTGGTATTAGGTTGAGTGTCAACGTTGATGTCTTCCGTGCTCTGAAAGGTTTTGAATTGTCACCTGGAGAAAGGGAAGACTAATCAGTATTCATTATTTTACATTGCTGCTTCTTGTGTTTGTTCTACGAGGTGTTCACTATCCGAACATAAAAATCTTGCAAAAGTGTTCGCTGTTTGATTTGCTCATAGTCCAAACTTCTTGTTAATGTAATTCATAAACGTTTATAAAATAAAAAACATTAACATTATAGTTTATATATCATGAAATAAACATTATTATTAACTAAAAGTTACCAAGCAAAAATACATCTGCTATTCAATACGATTAAAAATAATTATAATCTATGAATGGTCTGATATAGAATTTTTTTTCTAAAAAAATTATTTGTTAACTAAAGATATTCAGCTTTCTCACTGTTTTCATTATTTGAATGTATTAAGTTAAAAGCAGATTGTGAAGGTATTTTGTTGGTAGTTATACAGTTATTTCAGTAGCAATAAGAATAGATGAATATATTGGGGAACAGAAAATCTGAAATTATAAAAACTAATTAACAATAGTAAAAAAAATTCTGTATTGTGCTAATATTGTAGACTTTCTTGCAGATATTAAAATTTAAATATGTTCTGTAATATAATATAAGATTTATCACAGTAATTAAGCAGTTAAAAAGTGTTTTTATTTACAGTTTGAATGTGTTATTATTATGCAGTTTTTATCCACACTATCAGCACAATGTTTTATAGTAATAGAAATTAGGATATTGATTTTATAACTCATTGTTCTTTGTTATTAATTTGAGTAACTAATTCATAATAGTTAAAATAGAATAAAATTCAAAAGCATTGAACATTGCACATGTTTTTCATGTAATATAAATAACATTTGATAAAATTTCTAATTTCTTCTCTTTGTGATTTTTCCAAATAACATAGAGAAACTATCTTCTAATAAATGTTAATAAGTTGTCTTGTCTTAATTTTAATTAAAAAGGATAAACACTTGAGAATTAACTTGAATTTTTATTATTATTTCTCAATACCTTAATGACTTCAATATTTAAAGTCGAAGTCATTAAGGATTCTCATATAAAAATTGGTTTGAACTTAAATTTTCTGGAGTCCTCTTTTAGTAGCAATAAATTTCATATGAATGAATGTTAAATAGTTTCAATGTTTTGTTTAAATCTGATAATTAACTACAGAATAGGAGTTAAATTATAAATTTCTTTAATAAGGAAATATCTTATGGCTTGTTACTTCTACTAAATTAAACTAATTTTAGATTCAACAAAATTAAAACTGCTGTATTAAATTTGTATTTCTTATCAAAAAAATTTCAATTATTAGTTTTTCAGTTTTATTTTTTATGGGCATGATGATTTTTCAATAATTCGTACATTAAAGAAAGGCTAAAATTCAAATGGTTATTTGATTTTATTCTAATAAGTTCTTTCATTTTAACATTAAATTATTCCCATTAATTTTTATAACATTTAAAATTTTTTAAAATAATAATAATAATTTGCTATTTTTATTTTTAGCAAAACATATTATTTGAAGTCAGTAAAACCAAAAATTCATACACACAAAAAATTTCAATTAATTTCTTATAAAGCAATGGATAATAATATCAGAAGATTAATATTTCGTGCCACAGGTAAGAATATTTAATATTAATAATAAGGAATAATAATTTTATTTTTATGAAATTTATTTTTTAATGTTTTTAATAGGACCTAGTCATATGGGAGTAGTATTGTGTCCTTATCAGCATATTTCTATAGTAAAATGGTCGTTTGGTGATGGTAAACCTTTTGCGGGACCAAAGTGGCAAGGTCGCCCAACTTACTTTATTTTTTATTCCTATGGTGAAAATTCACCGCCTTGGGAATTTTGGGTTGATTTTTCTGTAAGTTTGCATAAAATATTGAATTGTTAAATACACTTATTTTTCAGTTATTTAAGATTAAACATTTTGTATTAATAGGTCCCACCGGATTATCCCAAACAAAATGCTGTTGTGGATGTTGCTTTTGCTTCACATTTTCTTCACGGTCACGATTCGGTCACAGCGCCTTTCAAAGAATTTCTAGATAAAATGCCATCGTGGGTTCATATTACACCGTGGACATCTACCTATGACAGTTATATCTTTTAATTTTTATAATATTGCATGACTAGATCAGTTACACGAGGTTATGAGAATAATCTCGGTTAGAATTGTTAATGGCAAATTTAAAATATAACAACTTTATTGCTATATTTTTCATCAGAAAAAAAACTACACCATTATTTAATTAAATAATAATAGATAAATATAGAACATAAAATTATAAATTAAAGGATAACATTTCCATTCTAAAATCTAAAATGATATAATTTTACACAAATAATCTGGTTTACATCAAAAAAAATATAACTTATCTAATAAATCTGAACTTAGTCATATCATTTAATAATAATTACATAAGAAGAAAAAAAATTCAATTTAAAACCTTTCTTGTCTAGTCAGTCATTAGTCAGATATATAAAAATAGCAAAAACAATATTTAGGATACATCTGTGTCATACAACTCTTTAAAATCAAATATTTTTATGTTTAAATTTCATTTATTTCTCGACTTAAGTGAGATGAACCCAATTTACAAAAAAAAAAAGGAAAAAACCTTGATGAATATTTTATCTGCCTTTGAGCAATTTATTGCCATCATATGCTATATTTTTAATAATCTATGGGACCATAATTTGCTGTTGAGCTGTTTGTTATCAACCTAATTATTTATTTAATTACATAAATTTTGCATAAAATAAAGTCATAATGGTATTGTTTTTTAACTGTATTTTTTCTGAAAACTCTCCGAAGTAATCAAATATTGTGGCCTCGATCATTTATTGCATTCAGAACCCTAATGCCTTTACAGTTTTGATTATTTTTGTGTATTTAGTTTAATAAATGTTAAAAGTCAGTTATAGTATTGAGAATTGTTTTAATTTGTTAATTTAGTTATGTTGCAAAAACTTTTATTAGTTTTATTATTGTTTAAATATTCACTTTTGTATGTATATAGTTTGTTTTAGAATAATAGCAAATATATAAACGTATGTTTAGAGTGCAATTATTAAAATATTATCATTACTATCATTATTACAAATAATGCATTGTATTTTGAAAAAATTCACATTTGTTGAATGCCTATTCATCATCTACAGAAATGCTCAAGATTTCAGCAATTTGCAGTACAATGATTGGTCTACTACATCCATTTATACTGTTTTTTCTTTTGTTATATGAACTTTTTTATTTTAAACTTTTTTACTCGTACAAAATAAACATGAGATTGTATGATATTTTGTTTTATTACCAATCTCTTGGCATTCCTTAGTTGGCCAGAGGACAGTTTAGAATTATTAATTTTACTCTACTGGAATACTAGCATAATACAAAAACAAATGCATATTATGTATATACATATATGTGTGATGTAAATACATATTAAAAACTTGTCATTAAACTATTAAAGTTCATGCATAAATATGCTTTTCTAATAATAGATTGTTTTATATATAAATATATATCTATACATATGTATTATTTATAAAAATTGATCAAGTTAATGCAATAAATATTATTACAGAATTTCCATGATTATTTATTCAAAATGATGACATCATTCAGTTCTTAGAAGTCAATAATAATGTATAAAATGTGTAAAAAAAAAAGGGAGGGGATTCAACTGCCATAATACTTTTCAATCTGGTTTATGTTGAGAATTCCCATAATGCACAAAATAATTCCATATTAATTTAAGCCTTTCTTCATAAATTTAATCAAAGGAGAAGTTAATTTTCTTGTTTTGTAGTTTTAATGCAAAATTTTTAGAAATTTATTTTGTTTTTGTATAATTAAGATAGAATTACATAAATTTTAAAGTTTTGATTTAACATTCAGTACACCCTACTGTATTTTAAGAAATATTACTGCCGTTTGTCCACGAGACATATCGTCTAGTGTAATGTTATCCAAACTTCTGTTTAAAGTGTATAAGTGAATAATAATACGCATAATATAAACTGTATTTTGTACAACAAAAATGCATTTCGGGTTATTTGCACCTCTTCAGTCCTTATTGTACCAATTAATAAAACTACAGAATAAATTACATTAATGGTATTTAAAAGTGACTGCTAGAGTAAAAACAAAAAATTAAAACTAAACTAAAATACATTTAAAAAACTGAAAAATAATTTTAAAAATATAAACAGAACAATACAAAATATTACTAAAATGTGATGAAAGCGGTATACCAGTAAAATAAAAGTTAAACTTAGCAAATTTAACGTTGAATATAGACAGAAACCATTTTCACAGAATATGCCAAAAGAAATTATGGTAACAACCACCATATAAAAACAACCAGTTTACCATAGACAAATAATATATTTATATTATACTGTACATTATTATTTATATATATATTTATCTGCTATCAAGAGCTAAATTTACTGAGGTTTTACAAGAAAATTTATTTAATCAGTGTGATACGAGTTTCTTAAACTTGCTACATATAACTGAATATACAAAATAACCACCATTCTTTCATAGACACAGAAAGGTTTCAAGTCGCCATCTTTGTGGTTTGTGTAGATCAGTGGCATGACATTTGATGATAGGGAAGTTGTGTTTCTGTAAGAAGCTGACTTTCAGCTGGGCAATCAGTTAATTGCCCATCAGTGATGGTCTAGAGTCCATTCGTATTCATTTGTTCGATAAGCCAGTAAAAACCGCAGACTTCTCTAAATGTATTTTTAATATCACAATTACATTCCGAATCGCTAGCCACCATATAAGTGCTAAAATTAAAAATAAAATTATAAAAACTTACTTGGTGAAATAAAATGTGTGGTGGATATACATATTTGGTACAAAATATTCTTCAATTGTATTAATATACTTTTAAAGAAAATTATAATTAAATATAGCTTTGTAAAGAAACGTACCTAAAAATAACATAAAATATTCTTTACTTTTTTAAATGTTAATACTAAATAGATAGTCCGTAATTTGTTTTCTAACTAATTTGTTTTAGGACCAGGTATCCACGAAAATTTACAACTCTGGTTTAACATTGAAATCTGTAAGTAATGCAAGATGGGAGAGTGGAATAAAAATATCAAATATTTTAATGGATTTTTTAAAACTCCTGTCAACTCTACAGAACTATCATAAAAACAACCCAACCGATAGGAATTTACTGGTTTAAGTTATAAATCTACTTATGATTCACATAATCGGGCGAGGGTGGCCAAATATCTAGCAGGCAGGTGGCAAATAGCCCAGAACCGGTCCGGGATAGAATCATTGGAAGCGTTATACGTGTATAGCTTCCACCAGCTAAACCGCATGAGGTTGATGCTCTGTAAAGCGAATGCGTATAATCTGACTGTTTGGAAGCTGACCCGGTTCTGACAATACAGCGCTTCCATTCCGCTACTGATATTCGAATATACAATAGCAATCTTATCGTTTTTTTCACGTGTAGTATAGAAATTTGTAATAAAATGCATAATGCGGTTATAATAAAAGATTAATTCAAAATACATTAAAATATGAAAATAATCGCGCAATATGTATTTAACTTTTTAGAAAACACAAGGGAAGCGGCGCTTCCAATGACGGTACGACACTAGTGTAGATTTTGTGTGTACACGTGCTTTTGCTGGAAATTATGTTGTTTATTCGTGGTGAATTGTGCAATTAGGCGTAATGCTAGTTCACTCAAGAACAAAGGAATATCATTTTTTAAAATTTCCGGCATTGCCATCGAGGACCCCCAAACTGAGGAGCTTTCACAATGAATGGCAATCTGCATGGCTCTGGAGAATTAACCAGAAACATTTCAATACGGATAAAGTGAATGTCAATACACGAGTTTGTCAGAAACATTTCATTTCAGGTAAGCCGGTTGCATAAATCCTTTCGTTAATACTGAGAAAATAAAGTTAAATAATTTTAACAACCACAGGTTTTAGTTTGAATAGATAATAATTGTTCTAACTTTATTTTTCACCTTTCAATTTGTTTTTTTTTTTCTGTCTGCTTGTAATAAATATACAGTAGAGTTAATATTAAAGCATTAAGCAAAGATAATCGCTTAATAGATGAAGAATTAGAAATGAATTTTGAACCAATTGTCCTTCCAGTCTAATTTACATAAATAAAAGAGAGTATTTTTAAAGATATAAACCAATAATTTCCATTGTTCATTTACAAATAGCTAAGTCAGGTTATTTTGGTGAGCAGCATTAACATTTCTTCAAGATGTTACTTTTTACAATGAATTTTTTAAAAATAAGTAACAAATAATCACTACGTAAGTAACCTTCGAGTTAGACAAAATTTAAAGCCATTTATACCAAAGTTAGATACTTAATTCTCCTAACTTTAATTACTTTTGTAATTTCTGCTTTTATTCGCATGCTTTCATTTATTATTATTCAATTAAAAGGGAACAAGCAGCTCTTCGCTTGCTCTTCGTCATTTCCGGACGAACGACAACCCAGAACTCACCACGTGGAGGTGGCTGCCTCAGAGTTCCACCAAGAGTTAGTACAATAGAAAAAGCCAACAATACATTGTAACAATTCGTTACGTATTGTTAGATTATATTTCTAATAACGCGTGACGTGTTACGATCCCGTCATGTTTTTACGTCACGTATTACTTGAAAGCATCAATCGATTTGAAATATTTTAAAAAGAATTATTTTATAAAAATAATATTTAATAAATAAATATTCATAAATATTAAATTGTAATTAAATATATATAATAAATAAATATATTTAATTACAATTTTTTTTTTAAATAAAAACCCTCCCTACCCTCAAAATTAGGTTTTTTGCCAATAGTGAAAAATATAAAAACTTTTTTCATAAAATATAATAACAGATGGCGCCACCACATGTACCCGGAAAGTTAAGCAACTCGTTGCTGGAATTTTTTAGTAGTGGTGAAGATAGCTGCATTTTTTTCACTGCTGGAGTGTAATTTTTCCTACATTTTAAAAAAAAAAAAAAGAAAACTGCATGAGAAATTTGATCTTTTTCTGTGTAAATTACGTATCTGAACACGAATAATCCGGTTTATTGGGCTACAATTTAGAAAACTGACCTATAAACGCTCTGGTCCGTCCGTCCGTCAGTCATTCCTTAATCTCGAGAACGTAGTTATATATATGAAAGCCGAGACCAGATATAAGGGTAGACGGTCCCGATTAACTGATTATGAACTTTCGACACAAACCGGAAATCACGTTATTTTAATTCAAAAAATTTTCCACTGTAAAGAGTTAGATGACGGCACGACTCTAATGCTAACAGGGAAAGTATGATATACAGGAGCTTGCTAACAGGAAATGTATTACGTATAGGGGTAAGACACTACTAATTTTAGGTGGAGAGAATATATTTTAAATTAAACAAATATTAAAATTGCAGTCCGTCATTATGACTACGTCAAAATAAATAATTACAATTATTAGCATATTTCTCGCTTGAAAATTCCGATTCGTCGAGCGGCGCAATAAGCTCCACCTCCGAGCGTTGCGAGCGAGAATATGTCGCGAGAAGAGACGAGACGCGATAAATATCAAACCCTGAGCGAGAACCAGAAATTCGCTCTCGCCAGCGAGATTTCTCGCTTCTCGCTTGTGCATGTTTTTCTTGTTGCGAGAACTATATCGCTCGCTACTAAATTCGCCGCACCCTTAGCCAATCAATGACGTCACATCGAAAATCCACGATTAGATAAAATTTATTTAAAAATCAACGTATTTCGTGAAATTACAGTACACGTATTTGAATTTAACAGATTGGGGTTAAGTTATAGTATTGGATTACCACTCGGTAATTAAATTCAGAACTAGCGAGTGGCGCAATAAGCTCCACTTTCGGTCGTTACGCGAGACGGTGAAGTCACGTATCAAGTAGGCAGAGAAAAGTAATTGTTAGGAAAGAATGACTGCATTAGTAAGAGGTTAGTATTTTGTAGTTTTAATATATAATAAGTGTATTTCAGTTTACATTAATTAATTATTAATTGCACTGTCTTGGTCTAATACTCGTGCTGTGCTCGTGCTTATTCGCGGGTCGTCTAGTAGCGACGGCCACGTGACTGTTCCAATTGTTTCCTGTTTATAATTCGCCTTGTAAGGAATAAAACTGTGACCCAATTTTTATTTATATATACGATTAAGGTATAGGGTTTGCTATAAAATCATAATCGTTAAATTGTGTCACAGTCAGAAAATGTCTGCACGACAAAGTCTGTAGACGTAGACACGTGATCTCAATGTCTAGACCAAAATTAATACTTAAACAATATTCTATAATTGAGAAATAAAAATATAAGGATGTAATTTCATAATTTTAATATTTTGAAACATGACTATTATTGAAAGAATTAATCGTCATTAAAAAACCTTTTTATTAAGTATTTAGACAATTAAATGATGATAAAATTCATCTCAAAGTTATTCATATAAACAGTAAAAAAAAAGTCAGCTAATATTGTGTGTTGGTAAATAAATTGGAAATTAGGAAATACATAATAATAAATTTTGATTTCTAAAAGAAGTGTTTCAAATATACATACATATAAGTGATGAAAATACTTTTCTAGAATATTACTATTTGAAGTTAAATAATAATTGTAGTCTTCCAATGTTATTCATTAGTATGCCTTGGAAATTTTTTCTGAGTATGATTAAACCTCTGACTTTGCACAGGCATGTTTTGGGTCCTGTTGAGTATAAATGAAAGGTTTTTATAGGTCTTATACAGTTGTGTTTTGACCGAAATTTTGGGATAGGTTTTCTATAAATCAAAATATGGTATAATGCCTTTTTTTTTTTTTTTTGCAATATTTGGGGATTTTGTAGCCTTTTTTGCTACAGTTTGAAATTGTTTGGTGTTTTTTTATAATTTTGTCCACCATTGCCAAGTGACAATGCTAGTTGGCTTGACCCGTAGTGTTAGCTTAAAACAGTAGAAGTTTTGGCACAGGTTTTCAAAAGGAAGATCTGTAAGTACAGAACCTTTGCTTTTACTTTTGATAAATGCTAATTTTTAAAAAATTTTGTTACCTTCAATTGTATATACCCACAGTGGCCAATTGGATAAAACCATCAAATATTAGTAGTGGGTTCACGCCTCGGCCAACAAGTTGTCATATGGAGTTTTCTGGGTTTTCTTCATGTTAGTAACATCTAACTAGTAGGCCAGTTTCCCATAAAAGACGCCTGGGAGGCATTTTCCTTTGGCAGAATTCCCATATATCGTGTTGCTGTAATCAAATAAAACCAAACTAATCAATTGTATATCTTAAGACAGATAATCCAGCTATGTGAGAAGGATAATTATTCAACTTTTTAGAAAAGTGAATCTCAAATCTTGGTTTGGAAGACTGCCGGCTGCAATTATGCAGTTGGAAACTGCAGGGATTCAACTGTGTGATGCCCTCAGTATTGTAGCTGATACCCAGGATCTGCGTCAAGCCAATGGACCAGTAACACGGATCATTTCCAGAAAGCTTGAAAGAATTCTTTGAACAGACAAGGAGTTTAAAACAATGAAGAAAATCGAGGCCATTTTTATTGGAGAAGTAGCTACATTTGAAGAGGATGAACCCAAGCTCTCAAGCACTGACATCAGCCTCTTCAACTATGCACCCATGATGACATAAGTTCAGCAGATACAAAGTTCATTTGCATTTCAATAACTTGCACCTGTAGCAAAACTGATATTTACTGTTCCTGAATCTAGAATGATTATCAATAGAGAGCATTTCTATTGCTGAGACTCTTGTATGAACTATTTCTAAACAACTTTAAAGTATATTTATGGAACTTTGCTATATTTGGTTTATTATTTTTATTTATTTTTTCCTACTTTAGCTATACGTTTTTACTACTTGAGATAGTTGCTTAATCACCTCACCTATCAAGGCAGCCCTGATAATTGTATTATCTAACAGATGGTCATATGATAACCGATTCAAAGTTTAAAAATGCTCTACTTGAAGCAAGCTTATATAATTAAAAATGTTATTTTTCTTAAATAAAAAGCTAATTTTTAGGATTAAGGAAAATTCTATTTTATTTAATCAGTCTCACTTTAGTAAGCACTTCTTCGGTATAATTTTTTTTGCCATTTTATTAGATATTTAAGATTGTGTATTTGTTAAGATTCTTAGATTTCTGTGAATATTAGTTTTTTGTAATAAATTATCATCATCAGCGGCGGCCTTATCCATTGCGAGGCTCTGGGCGACAGATCTTTGCGAGGCCCTTGTTCTTTGTGCAAAGTATGTGAATTGAAATAGTAGGCACTTATTAATATTAATATATACTGTACTATAAATTAAATTTATTTTATTGTTATAACTAATAGCCAAGGATAAAATAAAAAGTTTTAAATATCAACTTTTTTCTACTTGGTTGTTGCGCGAGGCCCCGGGTGATTGCCCTGCTCGCCACCCCCTAAGGCCGCCACTGATCATCATCATCACAAGAGAATATAAATTCTTATAGATATTTTTTAATTATTTTAAAGGTAAAATGAGAATTTTGATTGACATTAGTTGCTTAATATGGAATAATAGATCATGAGAAGACAAAATCCCAATACAATTATGCATATGACTGAATGTTTTGTGATTAAAAACAGATTTTCATATTTTCCTAAAATTTTCTTTTATTCTGATATATATTATAGATTTTCAATATATACTCAGATTCTTTAAATACTATGACACACACACACCTTATGTCAGAGAATTCAAAATGCCTGATAATGGCCTGTAGATCAGGTTGAAAACGTTTGTAAAACAATAAATATTGGTACATAAGGTGTCTGTGTCATAATATTATAGAATTTTACATTATTTATTTTATTCATTGTAGATAATTCAATTTGAATTGAATTCAGAGGTAAATAACAAAAAAAATGCAGTTCAATAATTACACTAGTAGAAGTTATTGAAATTTATAGAGGAATGTTTTAAGCAAAATTCAATTTATTTAGCATAATCAACAAAAACTTTTTGTTGCAAGTTATATAATTTACTTGATGATATACTACATATTCTATATTTTTGACTCTTCATACTGTCAGTTTAAAATTAAATAATCAATTAATTTTGTTAAATTGTGTACATTTTAATTAAAAAAAATCATTGTTTTAATTTTTAAAATAAATTTTATATATTCTATCTACTAGTAATAAAAATTTTAAAGCTTGTTGTAATAGCAGTTATAGAAATAACAGTACCAAAGTTCAAATTCCTGTTTGATTTGAATGATATCATAGGAATATGTAAAGAAAAATGGAAAAATATTTATGGACTATTTGATAAATAAAATCTATAAAACTATTATATTAATTTATCTTTTTTTAAGTAATGAATCATTAATTTACAAAAAGTTTTCTTCATTTTAGTTTCATGTTGTAAGAATAAAAATATGACCACAATTTATCTCTTTTGATAAAACAAATATAAATTAATTATATACTTGTATGTATACAGTTGACCCTTTGTATTAGCAGGTTTTGCATCTGTGAGTTCAACCAAGCACAGATTGAGAATACTTGAAAAAATTTCAATTTCCAAAAAGCAAAACTTAAATTTGCTTGTATTTTAAATGTTGAGCCTAAATACATGTTAGCAACATGTAGTTAGGCCCAACATGGTTGCCTCTGTACTGATGTACAGTACAGTACAGACATTTTCTTATCATTATTATACAGGTATACCTCGTCTTACATCGTTTCAAGTTACGTCGTTCCCGATTATACGTTGTTTGTCAAAAAAGTATATGGAAAAATAAAAATCAAGTTTAAGTCATTTTATTCGACTTTACGTCTGTCCGCCACAAATATTGAAGTCGTAATATCACTAGAAAAATGTTTAAAGCACATAAAATCATATTAAAATATATACATTTACAAGTATGTACTGTATTTACAGTACATGCATTCNTTTAATAATTCTTTTTTTAACGTTTAGGCCAAGATATCTTAGAAAAAACGTGCACGATTCAAGCAAGCGTGGGAGCGGCTTGTCATAGTAACAATAGGTAATTTTTGTTCTACTATACTTAATCAAAATCTTAATTCTACTCTTATAAAATAGATAAAATTCTGCAGCAAACAGTCCATACTGATTGCGTCGGGAATTCCGAGAGAATTGGCGGAAAGCACTCTGAGACTGACGACGGGACGAGACACGAGAGACGAAGATATCGATAGAGCCGTATCTGATCTGAGGAAAACCGTGCGAAATATATATAATTTATGATGATTCGTATTGAATTATATAATGAATTTATTATTTATACACATATAAATACAACAAAATGTTCCTAAAAGAAATTGTTGACTTGATACAGCATTGATAAAGTAAACACGGTAAAGTATTTATATATATATTTTTATTTTTAAAAAATATTGATTGTTGCTGAGAGAGGTCAAAGTCTGTATAGTTTTAATTATCAGATTTTTTTTGATGAATATAATTCAGTCTTTGTACTAAACACGGATCACCCAATGGAAGATGTGTTGTGCGTGTGTTTGTAACGTTAAATGTGTTAACACTACAGGTGGGAGGAAAACATTTGTATATAAGTTATGAACCAAGTGATTAATAGGGCATTATGAATAATGACTAAAATGGGCAAGTAGTCTGATAAATATTGATTAATTTATTAAATTGGCCAGAAATTATGAATAAAGCTACATTCTCTTCAGGCAATTTGATTAAAAAAAACTTCACTTTTTTCATTTAGAATTATTTATTTTTTGTGAATTGTTTCAAAGTATTTTAAAAACAACATGCAATCTTTTAAAAGTAAATACTATTTACTGTATTAAATTCAAATTCAAATTTATTAGCGTATTATGGAATTTATCCAGCTACACAAAGTGTAAATGCTAGTTTCTCTAGATATTATGAGAGCTTACATCAAGATATTAATTACC